GGTCCCTTCTGTTGGCATGACCAAAGTACATGAGACAAAATCTGGCTATTCTTGCCTGAGGGAGCAAGAATTCTGGCTGTAACCTAGACTTCTTTTATTTCTAGTTCTCAGAACTCATCATTCCTAGCTGCAGGAGGCTGTTTTAAGTGGAATTTATTTTGCACTAATAATAATACTGATTTATTTTAATATTTCTTCTTTTAGTTGAAGGCAGCATGGAGTCCTGGTTTTCTTTTTTTTCCACTAATCTCAGAAGCATCTCTTCTGCTGCTTTTATATTTAGACTGTGACTTAAGATAGGTAATGTTTTAATTTGTTAAGTATGAAATATGGCAAGTGTCATGGTGTGTACATCTTGTTTTATTTTTCTTTGTTCAGCATGTTGTGAATTCTTTAATTCTTCCACTTTGTAGCCTGTTTCACTTGACAGTTTTTTCTTTTTATTTTTTTAAAGTCATTTTCCTTTCACTTTCAATTATATCACATCAAGTAAGTGAACAGTTTCATTGTCATTGGCTTCATCCCTTGATTGAGAGTATAATACATTCTGAAATATTTAGGTTGAATAGCATTTTCTTATGAAAAATGATAGTGAGCATCTATCCTAGTTGAGAAAAACATGAATTGTATCCTTGTGTTATTTAACATTTTGTTGTGGTAAGGGTGGTGGCTGGTTGTTTTTTTTAAGGTTTTCCTTCATTTTTTGTGTTTTGCACTTTATCCATTTTAACTATATAAGATGGTAACTAAAGAGAAGTAAATCCATTGTTTTTCTTTGACTGTGTTAAAGACTTGAAAAATTAAAATAAATATGCTTGAAAAATTAAATTTAATTGGAGCTAGTAATACATTAATCGTAATTTCATTACCTATCTCTTTTGTGACTTTTTGGCTTTTCCAAGACTGTAGGCGGAGAGAACATATGAAGAGTAAACATACTACTTTGAATCTCTTGACTACTTCACCTTTCATGTATCAGCTTATTTACTCTTATACCACACATGCAAAAACCCTTTTTTTCCTCCTTAATTTAAACAACTATTTCATCACTTTTAAGATGTTCTTTTTTCAAAAAAATAAAAGCTGTTGGATTTAAAAAAAAAAAAAAAAAGTACAGTATTTTGCCATGCTGAAATGATTCTGGAAAGTAATAGAAGTTTGGATAAAGCACTTATACCTGAGCAGACAGTGATAAAATGTATAATTGCTTCCGGATATCATAGTTTACCAAAGTATATCTACTAAGAGACTAAAATTATCTTTCATTTTTGCTTTAAAAATATAGTTTAAATGGTGGAAAATTAAACTTTGGTATTTGTTGATATAAAGCTAATAACTTGACTTGCAAAGATTGGGTAACAGAGGTTTTATTCCAACATTCACCTGAAGGTATAATTTCTTACACCTTGTGAATTCCTTAGGAATTCTAGATGTTTCTGTCTGTTGGGTGCTGCTTATTTGGGCTTTATTGAGTAAGTAAAAGGTATTTAGAATTGGTAAGGCTTAAAACCTCAATATATCTATGGGCATATTCATTCAGATAAATGGGAACAGATTTAAAAAATAATGAAGACGCATTAATTGACTGGAGACACACAGCCTACTTATCAATTTTCTCTCAATTGACAAAAAGAGAAACCTACTTTAAGTAGAAAATGGATTTATTGGGAAGATGTTTTATAACTCACAGAATTACTAAAAGGAAGGGAAAAGATAGGCTCAGAAAACAAGAAGGAGCCATATGCAGATGAAAATTTTGCTATGCTCAAATCATAGGAAAAGCCTTAGGTTAGGCGACCAATTTTCTCTGTGAGTAAGTTGTCTCTGTGTCTGCATCACTCCTTCAAGGGTTGAAATTCTTTTGTGGGAGATTCCCATTCACTCAGCCTAGTTCAGCAATTCTTTTGTTTCCAGCCTACAGGGGGTACATGGACTCAAAATTGTTCTCATAATACTTAAGTATTATTTGCCTTTTTCACTGTGTTGACATTTGCAGTGATGGTGCCAAGGCAATGGTAGGCAAAAGTGTTGGTGCCTTAGCACAAATCAGGTCAGTGGCACCAAACTAAACTACTTGCTATTGTATTCTTCATTGCCATACAGGTTCAATAAAATTTATAGGTAGATATTTCTATTTTGCATATAGGCTAGAGCTTCATGTTGTTCATTTGGCCAGATGTCACTGGAAATTTTTAGAGCTGTTTTATTAAGCTAATAATGTGATGTAAGGGAGCCCTGGTGGTGCAGTGGTTAAGCACCCAGTTGCTAACAGGAAGGTCTGCAGTTTTAACCCACCAGCCACTCCCCAGGAGAAAGATGTGGCAATCTGCTTCTGTAAAGATTGCAACCTTTAACACCCTGTTGATCAGTCTACTTTGTCCTGTGGGGTCACTATGAGTCAATCAATTTAATGGTAATGGGTCAGTGTGATGTAAAAGCACTGTCACTGGAACCAGATTGTCGGGATGTGAATCCAGACTTCCCTGCTTACTAGCTGTGTGATGCTGGATATCTTTTAACCTCTCTGATCTGTTAACTCCACTGTAAAATGGAGGTGGTAATAGTACTTACCTCATAGAAATGTTGTGAGGATTAAATAAATTAATACAAATAAAACCATTTAGGACAGTGTATGGCTTGTAGTAAATACTTAGTAAATATTCATTATAATGATCATCATTATTACTGTCATTAAAAGCTTTCAAACCAGGTCTCTGGCAAGCTCATCATAGGAGAAGGTGCCCAAGATGTGATTCTGAGCTGTTTGGGTTCTTGCATTACAACTTGTTATCTAGATAACAACATGTGAAGTTAAAATACTGATCTGGAAAAATGAAACTATAGTGTTTTTAGATTAAAGATGTAAAACATGAGTGTTTTCTTCCTAATTCCTACATCTGTTAGCCTAGGCTCACATAGAACAAAAATGAATGAACAAAATGCAAACTAATATTCAAAGAATAAAACTTGAAAAGAATAAATCATACTGTTTGACAGCTTGTTTTCTCTGTAGACAGTGAAAGTAGTATTTATATATATATATACACAAAAGCTGTAAATTAATATACTTCTTTAATTAGTCTTGCTTAATTAGCCATTATCTAACAAATATGGAGACTACATTTTTTCTTTAATATCTGGGATGTTTTTAAGACTTTTTCTTTTTTTCCTGGATAGGGCTGTGGTTTATTAGCTCTAGGTTGGTAGCACAATCCCTGAAATGCTGTAGGTTCATAGTAAATATTTGTACAATCAGTAGTATACATTCATATAAAGAGTCACATTTTCTGCTCTGCTGGAAAATTGTTTTCAAAAGAGTATGCTGGCACTAATGCAATTTCTTAGTGCTCCCAAGGAACTTTCACTATATTGTGATGGTGTGTGGATGCAAGATGAGATAGGGAAGGAGGGGATAAAATGTGATGGAGAATACTACTTCAGACATAAAATTAAGTATTGGAAGGTAATATAACTGAACCTTTGTTTTATTTTAAAGGTTTTGCTTTTCTTTAAATCCTGTTTTGATAGTATACTGAGCTGGCCAGATTTTGGAAGTCTCGTTTGAAGAGAAACTGCTTTGTCCTTAACCCTTGCTGGGTAGGTAATTCCTTTTTGTGTTTAGCTATTACCTTGCGCTGTAGCTGAGTGAATTCTGGAAAACTGAATGGAGAATGGTGAATTATGGCTTGGGACAAAAAGATGAACAGGGATAATCATATTTTTTTCTCTAAAAAATTTAAAACTACAAAATATGGAGAGAAGGAGACAATTTTTAGGAGCAAAAATTAAAACTGTGTTAGGAAGCAGATTGAGGTAGACATGAGGATACGATATATTAACATGTTACAGTGGAGCAAAAATGTGTGAAAGCAAAAAATGCCATTTAATAGTAGAACTGGTGGCATAGTGCCTAAGGCATTTGATTGCTAATCAGAAGGCTGGCGGTTCAAACCCACCAGCCACTCCTTGGAAGGAAGGTTGGGCAGTCTGCCGTAGAGATACCACCTCGGAAACCCAAGGAGGGGTCGCTATGAGTCAGATCTGACTTGACGGCAGTGAGTTTGGTTTGGTTTTTTTTTGAACGGACTAGATAGTTGGAATTAATGAGCAGAGCAATAGAGAAAAAACTTACTGATTTATTGATTTCTTAATTAAACAAATTATTAAGTTGCTGATATATGCTAGGCACTGTTCTAGCCTAAACAGTATTACTCTGAAAAACATTTCAAAGTCCAGTGGTTCTCAGCTGGGAGCACTTTTGGCAACCATGGGGATATTTGGCAGTATCTATAGATATTTTGGTTGTCACAACTGGGGGAGAAGGGGTGCTGGCATATAGTGGGTAGAAGCCAGGAATACTGCTTAACATGCTGTAATGCACAGCATAACCCAAAAAAACCAAACTCGTTGTGGAGTCGGATCCGACTCATAGTGACCCCTCCTTGGTTTTCTGAGGTGGTATCACTACAGAAATAGTTGCCCAATCTTCCTTCTGAGGAGTGGCTAGTGGGTTTGAACCTCCAGACTTCTGGTAAGCAGTCACATGCCTTAGGCACTACGTCACCACAGCTTCCTACAAAAATTAATTGTTGTTGTTGTTGTTGTTATGTGCCGTCGAGTTGGACCCAACTCATAGCGACCCCTCCTTGGGTTTCCGAGGCAGTATCACTACGGAAGTAGATTGCCCCATCTTCCTAACAAAAATTAATTATCTGGCTTAATAGTAAGGAGCTCTGGTGGTGCAGTGCCTAAGGCATGTGACTGCTAACCAGAAGGTTGGTGGTTCAAACCCACAAGCCACTCCATGGAAGGAAGATGGGGCAATATATTTCCATAAAGATTTACTGGCTCAGTGGGGTTTGTTATGAGTTGGAATTGACTCAGTGGCAGTAGGTTTTTGGTCTGGCTCAGAAGTGCCAACTGAGAAACTATGGTTTAAGTATATATTTTGTAGAATATAATAATTGTTGTAGTTGACATGTAACTTTCTGTGTTTTCAGAAGTGAAGAAGTTTACTGGAGTGAAATGGAGGCCTCAGTAATATTACCCATTCTGAAGAAAAAACTAGCCTTTCTTTCAGGTATGTTTTTTTCTTAAAATTGGAAGTGATACATACATATATATATGTATATATATTTATATTTATATAATCAGATTTTTCTTCTTCGATAAGTTTGAAAGGAATGCATTATTTTCTATAAAGGTTTTGTTTAAAAGGTATTTCCGAGAACTCTTTTAATCATCATGCATAGCTATGCAAGCTAATGGTCACTGTTGGCACTTGTCAGGGCAATTTTTATTCTGTCCTGTAATTTGATTAAAATGGTAACACAAAGTAGATGTTATAATGTGTCACTTTTTATATAGCAATACAGTAATTAATACAGGACAAGAATATTTGCTAACTGACATCTAAATAGGAGCTGTGGTGGCATTAGTGTCTAAGGCATTTGACTGTTAACCAGAAGGTTGGCGATTCAAACCCACCAGCCACTCCTTGGAATATTTGTTTCTAAGATGTAGTTAGGTTTTATAATATCCTTTCTCCCAGTTTTTTTTTTTTTTTTTTCCTTTCATCTCCCTATAAGAAGGTTTCAGTGAGCTGGAGAAGTTAATGAAAATTCATTGTTTTCACTTTTTACTGATCAAAATTGATTACACAGACTTGAATTTACTTTCCATTATTAATCCAAAGTCTTAACTGCTTTACACAAATGGCAAACAGAGAACTGCACACACATTCCTCTGTTCTTATCACATCAACCAGGAGACCAGTGGTAAGCACCTAAGTGCTGCCAAACTAGCAAGCAAAGTAGCATGCCTGCCCCACTTGCCTGGATATATCAAAACAAAATAAAGCAAAACACCCTGGGTGATACACACTAACATGCAATCATCAATTAAATAAATACAAATACAACAATACCACAGTGTTTCAGAAATAGTGGACAACCTCAGTTCATGCAGAGAAACAGACAGAAGGTTCAAACAAGTGATCAAAATCTAGAGCCAGAAAACCTTCCTGAGGAAGAAGTGGCATTGGAACTATCTGATAAGGAATTGAAAATAATTACATTTAGGTATCTTCAGTAGATCAAGGAAAACACAGACAAAATTCTAGAAGAATTTAGGAAAACAATCCAAGAGCAAACTGAAAAAACTAAATGGAAAATTAGAAACTATAAGAAAACAACAAATAGAAATACAGAAGGTTAATACAAAGATTTAAGAAATAGATAATGCATTGAAAGGGCAAAGGTAGAATTGAATTGTATCAATGGAAGAGAGAATTAGCAAAACTAAAAGTAAATCTCTCACTACTCATGTGTTGGAGGAACAGTTGGAAAAAAAGCATGAAAAAAAATGAAGAAAGACTAAATTATGTGGGACATCAAGAAGAATAATTCACATGTGATCAGATTCGAGAATAGGAAGAGACCAAAAAAGGCACAGAGAAAATTGTCAAAGATTTGTAGGAAGAAACATTCCCTAATATGATGCTCAATGAACCCCAAACAGGATAGACCCCAAAAGATAATCACTACGAAATACCATAATCAAACTTTCCAAAACCAAAGACAATGAAAGAATCCTGAAAGCAGCTTGGGAAAAATGAAAAGTTACCTACAAAGCCCCAGGGATACAGGTGAGGAGAGACAACTCAGGGACGCCCAAAGCAGCAGGCCAGAAGAGCAGGAGAAAGGGGATTAAAAGCCAGGAAGCCAGACAGAGGAACAGTCAGCCACAGGGACCCA